GATTTCTACAATAAAAATAATAGTTTTATTACAAATATAGAAATAGATTTAGATTTGTTTGTTTTGAAAGTTGGGACCCATATTGCGTGCAAAAATTATATTCTACTTCTTATATTTGTTTCCACTATTTATATACATATACATATACATTTATTCCACTATATATTTATATTTCACTATTTATATTCCATTTATCACTGCATCATATCACATCTTGGGGGAAGGGCAGAGGAGACTGCCACTCTTAAAGTCCTAAAGAATGGTAATTCCTATCACATTCTAAGTTAATTCCCCTATCTGGTCCCTTACAAAAATCAGATCACACCTAGAAGATGACAGGGGACAACCACAAACTTAACTAAGTGGTGGTTCCCATTGCATCTGCTATACCAGATGCTATATCTTTGCATGAAATGCAAATGACCGCCAGTCACATTTAGCCATAGTGATGTGTTCTTCTCTATCCCTATAAGAAAGGATAACCAAAACATTTTCTCATTCACTAGGAATGAAAAATCATCATTCATTTCAGTCCCAGAGCTATGCTAACTCTCCCATGTCTGTCTTAATATAGTCCAAAGGGACCTGGACCATCCAGATATTTTGCAGCATAATCCACTTGTCCATTATCTTAATGACAGCATGTTCACCGGACAAGCTGAGCAAGAAATGGCAAATACATGGAAGGCTTTGGTAAAAAAATATACATTCCAGTAGTGAGAGACAAACCCTATGGAGATAAAGTGGCCTATAACGTTAGTAAAGATTTTAGAGGCACTGTGATTTGCGGCATGCATGGCAAGACATGTCCTATAGGTAAGGACACGTTATTATATCTGATACCTCCAAACACTAAGAAAGAATCACAATGCCTCTTAAGCATTTGGGTTGTGCAGGCAGCACATTCTGTTCTGACCTATTTACTCAGTAATGTGAAAGGGTGTTGTCTTTGAGTACGGTTTCCAGAGTAAAAACCGACATTATAGCAGGTCCAGGCCATGATGCAAGTGGCTCTGCCACTTAGGCTATACAACCTAGTAGACTCCGTAGTATTAGAGGCATTGGTGGTAGAAAAAATGTTCTATGGAGAGATGACAGCAGACCCTGATAGAAGAATCACAACATAAACCCTGACGGTTCTGTTGTAAAATCAGGCCACCTGCAGTAGAGAATTACACACCATTTATATAATGGATTCTGACAAAATATTGGACCCTGTTGGAGTAAGAATGCCCAACTATTGGATAATCAACTGGCGAGAACTGTTCATCTTGAGCTGAGTTCCCTGAGATGCACTGAGTCAAAGGTTCATGCAGCACCATCATCAGATGAAAGTGTTATATTTGGTATCAGGCTCAAGCATGACCAGAGGGCATAATGGCAGGTGTCCCTGACCACCATATTTTCAATCACTGCTGTCCAAGGAACTTCCCCCTTGACTCACACTTATGACCAAGTGACTGAGGAGGAAAAAGGCCAAGCTTTGTCGGCTTGGTACGTGGGTATGTGGTTGCACTCAGAATAGACGGCTGCCCCTCTTAGGGAAAGCCCTGAAAGAGAGCAGTCCGGAGCTTTTCTCAATAGGCAGAATGTTTGGTATACCAGGCCATCTACCTTACGTGAAGAGAGAAATGGCCCAGAGTAAGAATATATATATGTAGATTATGAGCAAAGTCAAATGGCCTGGCTGATTGACCAGGGGTCTGGAGGGATAGTGATTGAAAGATCAGGGACATGGAGATTTGGAAAAGATTTGGATGGGCCTCTGGGAGTGGATATCAAGTATTATAAAGATCTTTGAATCACATCTAAACCTCAAGCTTTGTGCAATGTAGTCAATGAAGTACTGTAGTCAATGAAGTTTATCCCAGGCATGATTATTGCTAATTGAAAACATCTAAACACCAGATTGTATCCTCCATGAAAGAGACACAATCAATTAGATGGAACGATCTGGCCAGGTGATATCAGCCAGGCTCCAGTGGTGACATCAAAGGTGCATAAATTTAGAGGCTATTGTGGCAGGGATTGGACCTGTGCATTGCCCAACAACACGGGCTCACCGGCAGCTACTGGAGCTGCCATACATTCAATCTACCAGTAAAGAGCCCGATGCAGAGCACCCAATAAAACAATGTTCCTTGAGGAGGCCGACTAACTTTTTGGTAGCAAGTTGTTTATACTGAACTCCTTCTACTCTGGAAAGGGCAGAAATTCATCTTGATTGGACTATACACATATTCCACCTTTCTTATTCTCAAGGCTTCAGCCTGCAGTACTGAGAGCTCCCAAAGTTTCTGAGCCACAGACATGGGATCATGCATAATATTACAGAAGATCAAATAACACACTTAACAGCAAAAGGGGTGTGGGCATGAATACACGACCATGGGAGCCCCTCATCCTATCACATACCAACCTCTGAGAAGCCGCTAACTTGATACAGCCTAAGTACAGTCTTTTGGAGGAGCAATGGGTTAAGACTGAAGACGATATCCTAAAAAAATGAAGAGCCTTCCTCTAGAGTAAGGTACATACACAAAATGAATGATCAGTATACGGTGCCATGTCCCCAAAGGTAGAGTAAATGGATAAAAGAGTTTGAAGTAGGTGCGACCCTGCTTACCGTCACTCCCAGTGACCCATTTGGGAGTCTGTGTTTCTCATCCCTGAAACTCTAGGACTTAGAAGTCCTAGTTCCCAGAGGAGGAATACTTTAATCATTAACCTTTGAGCTATCACTGCTTCCTGGTCATTTCAGGCTTCTTGTGCCAAAATAGCAGCAGGCAAGGAGAGAATAATTATCAGATCATCAGGGGGAAGCAGGAAACAGGGATGACTGTGGTTAGCACCCAGGTGATCTACTGGAGCGTCTCTTGGTACTCTCTTCCCCAATTCTGATGGTAAATAGACTACTACAAGTTCTATGACTTGCGAAGGAATAGGAGTTTGAGTCATTCCATCCGCTAAGCCATACAGATGAGCAGAGATGTTGGCTGAGGGTGAGAGGAAGAAAGTGATGAGCACGAATTGTAGCCCTGAGACCAGCTGTAGCTGTACTGGTGAGGGTTGTAGTTCATCCCATTAACCTTCCTTTTCCCCCAGGGAATAAGACCAACCTGTATCCTGGAATAGTTATTTCTAGAATTGGTTACATGAAGCAAATAGGTTTGAGTGGCACAGCGGGAGACTGTAGTGAATAGGGTGGTGTACCGTCTGGATCTCCCTTTCATGGACTGTGGCACTTACTCCTCCAGCTGGAGACAGTGATGGTGGCTGATGGCTCCCTACAGAATCCATCTCCAGTAACTGCCTTCAGCTAAAGAGAACTACCTCACTCAAGGTCACACCCATCTCTGGGGGTAGAGTACCCTGAGTAGCTAACCCAGCTTCAAAGCTTCCTGTGGAATCATCTGAGGCCTATGTTGTTGACTACATTGTAATTCATTCCTTCAAACTGTGTATATGAGTACTATTTTCATTGTAGTCCTACCAATGTTGATTATTATCACTTTGATAATCAGTTAAAATTACATCTATATAATTTTAGCTATTAAATTATATATACCTCCTACTAATGATCACCTTGATATTTTAAAATTCTCTTATACTAATATATCAGAAGGAATATCTGTATGTGTGTGTAGTGTGTGTGTCCAGGCACATCTATTATCAAACGATGATTTATAAATAAAAGGCAGAAATACAAGAACAAGATCCTTTGGGTTCAGTGTAAAAATCAGGATTCTTCTTTTCTACTTCCCCACAATGGGGATTTTAAAAAGCTATGGAGTAACAATCTTTGGTGTGTTTACCACCAAAGTCTGATGTGATCAGTATTTATGAATCTATCAAGTCTTTCATATTGTATGGATTTATAGTTATCACTGGTCTCAGGATATTTCATATTACTGTAGAATTCATCTCTAATTTCGAAGTCTGCCATATCCTCTTGATTAGCACTGAGCTAGCTTCCTACTTGAAGCACATGCTGAATGAAGGACAAGGTGAGTGACAAGTTTTTATTTGCTGAGAAACCTCTGCCAACATAAAACTGGAATGAGCAAGTCATTAAAGGGATACTGTAAACCCTACTACAAACCTCTCCACTGCAGGCATTCTGAAATAAACCTTTTCCCTTCACCTTGTCCACTGGGCTAAAAACCTAAACTTCAAATTGCCACTGTCCCTGAAATATTTGTTTATTAATTCTTTTCTTGGAGGATGGAAAAATATGCTAGAAGATAGCTATCATTGTATCCATCCCAAGAAATGCCTCCTGTTTTTCTTGAGACTAAATAAACCAGTGGAAGACTTTATAATAGCTAACATTTGTGTAGCAATTTACAGCCTACAAACCCCTCTGACATACATTTATTGCACTAAATCTTTGAGACAATTATCTATTGTACTTTAAAGCTGAGGAAATGGAGACCTGGAAAGGTTAGGCAATATTGTCTAAGATTCTGTTCATTATATTCGATATTCCAATATAGTTTAAATCTCTATAGATAAACTAGAGAAGGATGTGGACATGAAATGTGTCCACATCTCATAGACTACGTGAATATCACATGGTAAAAAAATCAAATGTGAAACTTCGGCTATCGTTGAACCCCTCAGGGAAAGTGCTAGTTTGTGCGTCAAGATTTCTCTAAGGGAAAGGAGACTTTGAGGTAGAAAATAAAAGAGCAGACATTACCTTCCTCTTATTTTTATCTTTGCCTTAGCTAGCGAAATAAGTTTTCAGTACACTGAACAAATTCACAGCCACATACATATACGGACATTAATAACTTCCTTGAAAAAAATTGGTTCTGTATCTTAATAGCTACAGTTAATTACTAAGGCTTATAAGGGAAAATGTTTGTGGAAAGCTTATGAGCTATAATCACTATAATCATCACTGGAAACAAGTTTCAAAAATATTAAGTTGCACTTTCATTCACGTAAACTCAATGATGGAACTCTGAAGAGAATGTTTGTAGTTTTAATGAGCGTCTCAGTTTGTGTGAGGGAAACTGTCTAAGGACTCATTTTCTAGTTTGGGTCCACCAGTATATTAGTCCAATACATGGAACTGGCTCTTCTAAATTATTTATAGAACTCCAGGAATAATTTGATCCCACACAAAATAATACTGAGCGCTTAAATCATAGTAACTCTTCTCATAATAAGAGACAAAAATTCAACTTAATTGACCTCCAGTGACTAATATCAGATTTAAAAGTACACCACTTGAGAGTTAGTAACAATCTCTCTTACACAGTGCTATTACACTGACAAATTAAATTCTAACAGATCTTGAAGTGTTACAACTAATTGTACAATTTTCATTGTTTCACACAATCTCACTGAAGTTACTACACAAGAGTCCACATTTAGTAAGAAACACTTTAACTAGCTGCAGTTAATATACACTGTATGAGTACGCACCCACATATTCCTCTTGCCTATTTGGATTTCAAGGTATTCCTCTCGTACTGATAGGGAACAAGTCACAAAAACAGATCCAAAGTGAAACCTAGCAGGACCCTGTGGGGCTCCTGGGCACGGAAGCCTTTTCATGTCCCCCATTTCTTGTAAGGAACAGACTCCAGCCTCCATGACCTTCCCTGAGTTCCAAAGGGCAGATTCGAACAGTTGCTAATCAGGGAAGGGAGGGGATGCAGAGACAAGGGAGGAACAGTCAAGAGACAATAGTGCAGCCTTGGGGCAGGGTCCTGGTGCTGCCTCAAGCGATACACATAACACTGCCTTTAAGCCCTTTATAGAACTAAGACCCAACAAATGGAAGATGTCAGCATTCTTCATATGAGAGAAGACCACCCGAGGAGGCCAGATTAAAGGAACCAGAGAAGCTCATCAAAAGATTACCTGACACCAGAATAAAGGAGTGCAGGCCCTGCACACATCCTAATCTTAATCAGCAACTCACCAAATCCTCCCGGGCGGGGACACAAAGTTTTCGAGGGCAAGAGCCTGCTGTGGCCCCCTTTGCCTGGCAAAACAATAAAGCTCTTCTTTCCTATTTCACCCAAAACTCTGTCTCTGAGATTTGATTCAGCACTGGGACACAGAGGCCAAGTTTTTGGCATCAAAAGGACTTTTGATGTTATGCCTTGATGTTTATGATTGGACCTAATACTTCTGCTAATATATAATACACTGCCTTAATACAATGCTTAAAATTCTATAGCATTTGTAATCAGTAACCTTTCCCAGGGGAGAACAAGGAATTGATAGTAGCTCACTATTTTACTAAATGCATAACCAATATATTCCCCTCCTACAGTGGGAAACTCTATTTTGCCATCAATATTGGAGGAAAAACACAAAACCAGCATTAAAAAAATATTCAGTGTTAACATGAGACACATATCCCATACATATTTCTTCAGTGGAAGGCATGATTTGGTACCTTGCCCAAGCAGATCTACATTTAGGAAATATTTAGAATAGCATTTATTCATTTGTGAACACATAACCTTTCTGTGCATAGTAGAATATGAAGAATACATTATTTCTTCCCATGGCGACTTTATTCTATCTTCACCCATTTCTGCCATTAAATTTAAAATATTCCAGACTACATATGCCCTGATTACAGCTGCATTCCCAGTTCCCTGGCCCTCTCTTCTTCTCTGCCCAGCAGTTAGGTATTTCCAATTACCTTCACTGAAGACCACTGGCCTGGAAACATAATGCTACCTAGCAACTAGAACCAGAATCACTAACTCAGAGATAACTGATATCTTATATCTATCTTACCTTTGTTCCTGCCTTGCTCTCTATGCTCCCACGCTGCCCCACCAGCACCGGAAAGTATGCTCACTTTTCCTTCTAGCTACCCGATAGTCTTAATTTAATTACTACTTACCCACACTCCAGTTCACTGGATGAGACTCAAGGGTAACTAACTCATCAGCAACTGCTATGGCAACCAGATCCTAAGGTACTGGTTACCTGTTTGCAAATCTGGCTACTGAAACATCTCATTCTTATGATGCCTAACACATCGATTCTTGGCACATTTTGTCTGGGCTGTTCACTGAACAGTAGAGTTGGAGGGCTACAGTCAATCTCCTTTTGGAAAGAGGACTTCTTAACCAATGTCCCTCGCCAAATAATAAATAAAACTAAAACAAATAACAAGAAAACATTTCCTTAGCTCTTAGAAGAGATGAATAGGCAATACAAGTGATATATATCAGATAAAATATCTTAACTCGCATTCACCACCACTTACATAATATGGCTAAAGTATTTTTGATGCATATGCAAAGTCTTCTTAAGCGTGCAGACCATTGTCTGTGGGTGCACGAGTGTGTGTGTGCATCCATGTTTGTGTTAGGTATACAGAGAGATGGTCAGCAGTCTGGAACTGTGTGTGTGGTGTTAGAGTATCAGATAGAAACCATTACTGATAGCACCTCCTCTAGTATAATGATTTTTTTAAGTGCCGTTGATCTTTATCTAGAGGAAATCATGTATATATTTCACATGTTACAGTGCACACATTTCAGTATTTTCCCAAAATTTATCTTCTGGAAAGAAAAACAAGTCATTAACTCAATTTAATTTAGTAGATGATGTTTCTTTCCTAAGTCACTAATTGCTAAAGAGGGAATAACTAACTATATAGAAAAGACTAGGTTGAAACTTCATTAGGCTTATGTAAATATCCACCAACAATGGGCACTGGCTCTAACAGGCCATTGTGTGCACTTCAGTTAGAAGCAGATTGTTATGGTTGTCAAGAGAAACTCTTAGACGCAAGCATGCGGACAGACCAAAGCTGAACAGCTGGTCAGTGCAGACTCACGATGTGCCTCAAAATATATGGTGACGGTTTATTGTTGGAACTTAAACAGAGAGGGCTCTGTTCTTCCCGCCAAGGTCAGCCTCATTGCTGAGTTTATATTTATAGCTGGCCTCTCCACCATCTGTGCACATGGCCTACACTGCACCTCTGTGGAGGTGGAGAGGCATTATTTTAAGACCTGATTAAATGGCCAGGAAAAAGCAATCCATCATTTACAAGGAGGGGATGTAAGACAGTCACAATGGTGTTCTGTCACGCTTTCAGATTTTGGTCTTCATTCTAATCCGATGCCAGATACAATAAACACCGACCAAGAATGTAGAATCCACTGACAACATTTTACCATCTAGATGGGAGAAGAATGAATTATCAAGATTCTCCGAGGTTTGCCCTAGCCAGGAGGTAACTGACATTTATGCCGAGGGGCGCCTTGCTCTTTTGTGGTCCCAGAGACCCAAATGAATCAGGGCCTGAGTGGAAGGCAAGATACTGTTAATAAAGCGCTACCTGCTGAATTCAGAGCTGCCTGGTGTAAATGAAGTTGAATGCCTATAATTGGTTTATTGAACGAGCTGAACTATTGGAATATCAAGGGGAAACAGTTTTATTCTCTCCTGTCATCCACTTTCAAACACACCCTATCGGATATATTTCCTACCCCAGATAACAAGTTGGGTCAACCCTCAGGTCCTAAGGGCACCTTAAAATATTTTAAAGGCCTTATTTGCAGATATTAAAAACAATAATGACAACAACAACAGCAATACACACACACACACACACACACACACACACACACACCAGTAAGATCTAAATCAAGACATTAACTTAATGTTCAATTTAAACTTTCTTCCCTCCTCCCAGAGTAGGCCTGAGACCAAAAATGGGGAAGAGGCAATGGGACTGTCTGTCACCACTTTTTTTTATTCTCTTGGGTCTATTCTTTCCCCCTCTGCTTAGGGCTTCTCCAGGGTAGAAAGAGAGGATGGATTTGGAGCAAAGAGACAAAGGCTGTTTTTCTTAGCCTGTGCTCTTTGAGAGTGCACAGTCATGGAAGGCATCAACTTGCCTCTTTTTGGGGAGCAGCTCTGTGTTCTTCAGAGGCCCCTCCAACCTAGGAAGCCCCGCCCTGGACCCCTTCCTGCAGCAGGCACGGCAGGATCTGGCTAGTCTTCTGCACCAGCTCCCAGCTCAGCTCCGTCCCAGCCAGTGTCCCTCTAGCGTCTTTTGGTGGCTGTAGCCTTAGCAGCCAGGACCTCGTGGGCAAGGCCTTTCAAGATGTCTGCCACCCTGCTTTCTTCAAGTGCAACTCACACCCTCATTCTTCCCAAAGGTGGAAATTGAGCTTCTCCCCACTGTTGCCTTCCTCTTTCTCCTCCTGCAGTTGTGGGCAGCTCCAGACAGCTTTTAGTCAGGGTAAGTTGCCCATTTTCCATTTTTGCAAAACAGTAAAACACACACACACACACACACACACACACACACACACACACACACACACACACATTCTGTTCAAGAGGTTTTCTTGGTATCTCCACAACTTGACTTGTGGGGGAAAGAAAACACCATGATGATGTCTGCCTAATCCTATGAATTTCAACACTTCAAAGAATCCTCCATCCCTAATGGCAGTTAAAGGGGATGATAGGAGAATGTACCTCATACTTCTCTTTAGAAATACGGGACTACTTATCTTGCATTTTCCTCAGCTTTATGGCCTTAGGTGGAAATCAATGTTAACTAGAATTCTCTTATTCTGTGACTTGTGTAGCAGTCAATATTAGCGTAAATGTTGCCATATTGTCGTTGCTAATGAGACAGCACAGAGTTTTTAAACCATGGCTCATATTAGAGACCTTGGTTTTAGAGGTTCCTTCTCCCCTCCTTATCCATTACTGTTTCGGCCGAAGAGAATGTATTTAGTCACACAAATGAGGTCACATTCACATGTAAGGCCCATTAAATGGAGGGAAAACAAACAGTCCATCAGAGAAACTGGTGATCCTGAACAAGAGTTAATGGTACCTTCAAATTCCTAAATAGTTCCTTTCATTCCTTTACTCATCTGGGACTGCGGTTCTATGTTTGCTTTTTTGTTTTAATCAAGAAAAGCAGAGAAAGTCATTGCTGTGAGCATTATTATGAGAGTCTGAGCATCTTCAGATAATTGGTTAGAGATGCACAAAATATAAGGCCTCAATAGGCACACTGTAAATGACAGAAGCCAAAGAAAGACTATGTCTCATATATTTCAGTAGCTATATAGAAATTTCTGTTTTCTATTAAAATTACTGTTTCTAAACAGAAAATCCGTTTTCTATTAAAATTAAAGCAGGGAAAGATTAAGACAAGGTTGAGCCAAGAGGAAGGAAACTGGCCTAAAAAAGTTGAAATTAACATAATCAATAGGTGGTATGAAAACTTTTCATGAGGCGGTATTAATATTTTAAGGTATTTTGATCTATAGAAACAATTGTTCAGTCCCTGCTTTTAAAAAAAAAAAAAAGAATAAAAAGAGAGAAGGGATGTTTTTGATCTTCTTTAGTGTAACCACATTTCAGAGTAGCTGACCAGCTGGTTTTTTTGTGTGTTTGTTTTTGCCTGTTTGCTTGCTTTCTGGAAATCATATTGTTATGGGGATATTACATGACATGTCTATTATAGATTTACGCTAGTTTTGAATACACCACCATATTAAACCTCTAAAAGATTACAGAACAAAATAAAAAACTTAATAAATTGTAGAAAAAAGACAACTTATCAAAATCTGTTCTAAAAAAAGAGAAGAATGCTTTTACTTTCAAGTGATTACTCCTGCTATTTTTCTACCAACTTCCATTGATTTAAGACTATAAATAAGCATGTATGTATACATGTATATGCTTATCTATTTTATATATATTACATATATATATATATATGTTCCATATATAGAGTTTATATTTATATGAAACACCAAGAAGAAAGGTAGGCCACAAAAAAGGGGAGATGGTAGTAATTTAGTGGTAGTCATCTTGACTGTATCTCGCTGGATGGAGATATATATCGATAGTCATAGATATAATTTGCTAGCACAAATATACCATCAATACACACATGTATACCTGATTAACTAAATAACTCAATAATATCAAATTGACTTTGAGAATAGGGAAAACAGTACAGATTTCACAGATGAACCATGCAGAACTGCAACTACAGGAACCAGAGCAAGGTTCACTTCATCTTACCAGGCTTAGGAACAATGAGCTGTGCACTGGTCTGGGCGTTTCCAGCCTCATTTTCACCCACACACTGATAAAAGCCTTCATCCGACTTCACCACCCCAAGGATTCGTAGGTTGCTTCCTCCCTAGGGAGAAGAAAAAGCACGTAAAGCATTTGAAAAAGCAGAAAAAAACTCCAAGTGACAAAATGATCACAAAACAAATTTTAATCAAACTTCCCAAAAGAAACCGGAAGGGAGGCCAAGAGGGTCCTTGGCCTTACAGATATGTCCTGTGTCATTTGGGAAATGTCACAGATTCCCAAGATTCTGCTGAATCCACGTGCCACCATTTAACCTAGTTCTGCCATGAAAAGTATACTCCCAAGAATGCACATTCTCCATAAGTGAGCAGTAAACAGAAAACTCTTTTATTAGGTATGGACGAAAGAGAGGTTAGTGTCAAAAGAAATCTCATTCTTTTCCTTGTACTGAAGGAAATAGTTTCAGTGGGTGCTGGAGGGGGAAAAAAAAAAGCAAAAGGAAACAAAAATTACTTATCTTTGCAGCTTCTAAAGGACAAGAAATCTAGGTTGGATATTTTCTGGACATTTGCCGAGAAAAAAAAGATCTGACAATCCTTTTAAAATTGTGTGCCCTTTCGGGGATTTGGAGGAGGGTATGGTAGATCTTTTATACCCGTGTCATTCTTGTTATATGGCCGAAATGTTTCACCTTCAGTGATCCATAAATTAAAACACAGCAATGTTAACTCCTGTTTTATGTAAATTGGGCCACCATAGTTTTCAAGGATGGATGATAAAATGATCTGAAATAGCATTTAATTACAGTAACTCAGTTTATCTTCGATAGTGTAAGAATTAGTTCAGTAAGTGAGACGAGTTAAATCACTTGCCCTGAAGTCATTAAGAGATAAATATTACCTCATGGGGAATACTTAATTGTTTTTAGTGTCTTGTAGTCAATTCTCAGCTGATGTAAAATTCTTAAGATAAAGTTGACTAACTTACAATTAACAATTCTCATATAAGTTACTATTTGTGCTAAATGTTACATGTGTGACAGATCTGGAGCTATTGGGGAAATATTTTTAAGCACAATTTAATGTGAAAAGGGCTCATACCATACATTTTTGGTTTTTTTTTTTACCTTAAGAAAAGGAACATTTTAAGTAGGTTGGCTATAATAAGTCATTCTGGGGAAAAGATTATTCAAACTGTAGAAAAAAATGAAATGCTTCATTTTATCCTGTGTCCTTAAGGGCACTCAACAATTTCCTCTATATGCAAGTAGCATCTATTTTAGGCATATACAACACATTTCAAGTTGCCCCATGGCAGATCATTTTTAATTCAGTGATAGGGGAAACAGCATTGCATGTAAAGGAACTAATGGATTGATGTGGCATTCAAAAGTTAATTTTTTTTCCTTTCTTACTCTATTCCCAACCAATTAAATGCAACTAAAAATGAAAAATGGTAAGTGGTGATAAACATAATAAAGATATTCTTTACGGATGTATTCCTTAAGAGCCCTTACAATGTGACAAAATGCATGAATCGAGAGGTGATGAAAGTTTCTGAAAGCCGACTGATTGTGCAAGAGGGACCACCAGCAAGAGGCACTGTAAAGCCACGGAGAGAGCTTGTGCCTGAATTCCATAGGGCACTTACACTATAACTGCCGTCTCCTGGGAGACCTGGCTTGGAGGACCACTTTTCTTTGACAGGGTCATGTCTGCATCTCAAACATAAGAGAAATGCATTGAAAGCCTCCTTCTTTAGCTGCAAAGTTCTTTGATATTTAAAAAGTGCTTTTCATATTTCTCAGATATTCATTTGAATTCAGAACCTCTGATGCTGACCTACACCAAAAGGAGAGTTTTCACAGAGCATTTTTAAATGAGCAAAGCATTCTGCTGGTAGCAGCAAAAACAATAATAATAATGATAGGTATGGATCACTCACTATGTACCAGGACAACAACTCAGTGAATATACCACCATTATCCCTATTATCTCTCTCCAGGGCAGGGACAGAGAGGTACACTAAACCTTATAGGAACTATAAGAACCATTGTTCTTGGCTTCAATTCTTTCCAAAGTTCAGAACTGCAAAGGATGTGAACTCTGGGTCTTCAAATCCTCTCCAACACTGCCACCACCATTGTCACTATCACCATCATCACTGCCCTTTTCTACTGCTCATGTAGGATCAGCTGGCCTATCTGGAAGAGCAGCAAAGGAGCAAAGAGTGACCATCTTAATTACCAAAGTAAGACTACCATATTCATAAGTAGCGCATCTTACTTGAAACTTTATTATAATGGGCAAAATTTAAAGAAGTAAGAGATTCTTGGATTCATACAGTCTAGAACTAGATTCTAAACTCTGTTTTTCCAAGAACCACCAATGAAAATATTTAGAAAGCACTGGTCTTAGGCCCCCCATTTTTTCTTTGTTTGTTTAAAACCGTGTCTGTAAACAAGGGGGCTGGACTGTTTAATGACTTTTTTTTAGCTCAAACATTCCAAGTCTAAAAAATGATTTGCTGTACTGGAACAATTTTCTTCATACATCATAAACATTCCCAACGGGAACGTTGTTCCCAAGAAAGAAAAGCAACTGAAAACAGAGTAGACAATGAATGGGATTGTAAAGTGAATATGAAAAAAGATAGTTACCACTATCTGAAAATAATCACTAGGAATGACCGCATCTCCATTCTTCATCCAATTCACAGTGGGCACAGGCTTCCCAGAGACTGCACATTCAAACTCAATATCCATGCTTTCATAGGCATAGAGGTTGGAAGGGTGATTTAAAAACCATGGTGGAACTGTAAAGACAGAAAAATAAAAAGTGAGTGGGTGGGGATGTGAACTTGCATGCTATCATCTTCTCTGACTTAGAAACAAATATTGAAAATGTTTGTAATTCAAATAATTCCCCTAAAGCCCTTAGTTTACTTTATAGGAACTACTGTAGGACATGATAAACTCCCTCCGCCCCTCCTGCCCCCCCCCCCCCCCCCCGCCCCACCCCCGACCGTTGTTGTGTTAATGGTGTCTTGCCACAAAGAATGTAAAAAACAACAACAACCTTTGCATACAATAAACAAAAATAAATAAATAAAAATAAATTATAAAAAAATGCATATAATAAACATTCTGAATAAGTGTTCGTATTGACCTACGTAAAGGACACTGGAAAGTCCATAAAGCTATGGAAACTATGCTGATAAAGCAAATAAAGGGGAGCTGATATGACTGACACAACCCAGTGTATAAGACATGAACGCTTAGTGTCTCTGTAATTCTAGAGTTTCATTAGGATTTAGTTAATGTGACGGACTCGTTCCTATTGAAACTGGCTGTGGTGATAAGGGCACTAAAAATGACCATCATCTTTACTGTGGACACATGCCTATTGTCCTAGCAATTATCTACTCTAGTGCATTGCTATACTATATTACTATTTTCTCAGCAGGGTACATGATACACTAATTTAATGTCTTAATTACCATAATACTCATTACTCTATGATGGAAATTTGCAATTGAAAGGAAATTACAAATATAACACACCTTCGCTAGTGAATCTCTCAGACTTGGTGCCTCAAAACTCTGTGTAGGAAAGGAACATTTTAAAAAGTGATGTTGGAAGGGATAAATTGGGAGACTGGGACTGACATACACACACTACTATATATAAAATAGATAACTAGTAAGAACCTACTGTATAGCACAGGGAACTCTATTCAATACTCTGTAATGACCTATATGGGAATCTAAAAAAGAGTGGATATATGTGTATGTAAAACTGACTCACTTTGCTGTACAGTAGAAACTAACACAACATTGTAAATCAACTATACTCCAATAAAGAAAAAAATTTTTTTAAGTGATTGTCATTTTCTTCCGCTGGGAACCTTAAAATGATGTGAAACTTGAATATTTATATTGTCTGAAATCCAGGTTAAATTCACAGGGAAGTAGCAGCCTTGATCCCCTTTTCACCTTGGAAATAAATATGTATTTTTCGTAGACATTTTTAAAGACAGATTATAATATTTGTCTTTGCTGTTGTTACACTCAGTGGGTAAGGTGTGCTAATTTTTGCTTCTTTGAGTAACCACCGTACTTTGCTCTTTCCAACCACCGTCGGCAAAACTTTCCCTTGAAGTCAAAGTGAATTTGCAATCTTTGATGGTCATTGCCTTCTAGAAAAATCGAAGAGCCAGTGGAAGGCACCCAGGATTCAAGTCCTAGTTCTTCTACTGAATGATCTTGGAAGTCAGATCTCTCCCCTCCCCTCCCCCCCCTCCTCTTTCTTTCTCTCTCTCTCTCTCTGTCCCTCCCTCTCTCCCCTTCCCTGTCTTATCTTCCTATTTTTAACTAAATATTTGGGCCTCTAGTACCAAACAACTTTTAAATTCTTGAGTCTTTCACAGGGCAACTTGGTTTAGATGACTTGGCTGGGATTCATTAATATTCACAGATTAAAGATATGGAAAAAATGTGTCTGAGGGCTTTCCTACAGAGAATGTGTCACCATTGTATATAGGGCTAAGATTATTTATAATTTATAGTAATATTAGACTTTATTTATTCTTTCACCAAATTCACTGAGAATGAACCAACATCAGAAATATTTCTTGAGTGCCTCTGAGCAGATAGATTTATTGTCTCTTTTGGATTCTGTTGTCAATTTTATCACAGATATTGATCAAGTATTTATTTACCAGCCAATAGCCAATATTTATTGAGAGCTGACTGTACGATTTATTAGCCTAAGCACTTTATTATTCACACCACAACTCTTTGAAGCAGGCTCTTTTACCCCCATTCTAGAAATGAAGAGACTGTGGTGTGTAAGCAACTTCTCCAAACCACACAGACAGGCTGACTCCACTGCCTACATTCTGAACTATTTTGTAATAGTTCTACCTCTGGAAAATTCTGATGGAAAATTATTTTGCCACCGAAAAAT